ACCATAATTGTGTTAAAGGGGCAGTGCGACTCCATCGCGTGCCATCAGCGCCCCCCTGCGTGGTGGGGGCGGGTCTCTGGGGTCCATTTGTCCTTCCAACCTGGCTTTGTGCTCGGAGGGTGTCACCCGAAAGACCAGGCCAGCAGGGCTTCGCTGCTGCAGGTTCACCTGGGAGAATCCTTGGCCTTGACTCAGAGTGCAGTGGCCGGCCAGTTCTGGCTCTGTGCTCAGGATGCCCACGGGGCTGGGGCTGGGAGCTGGCAGGCCTCAGGCCGCACGCCGTGGGCCCCGCTGCACCAGCCAGCGGGTGGGGACGAGGAGGAACGTCAGCAGCCTGGCTCTTGCTGAGCGTGGGAGACAGTCACTGCTGGGCGTCTCCTGCAGTCATGGCCGTCCAGGCCGCCCGGGGGGTGTCCAGGGCCGTGGCTGCACCCTCTGCCGGGCAGGAGGCCTCCTCCCACCGCCAGGTGGTCCTCCTCGGCCATCTGGACGGAGCTGCAGGTGGTGCCCAGGAGCTCTTCCGTCTCTGATGCAGCCATGTCCAGCGCTCACATCCTTGAGCTGACTGAGCTCCCGCCTCCGGGCTTCGGTCCTGCAGACGGGCTTGTCTGCATGGTTTGCTCAGAGCTCTTCAGGGTAGTGCTGTTCATTTTAGCAAGAGACTGAAAACAACCCAGGTGCCCATCAGTAGGAGACTGGAATCGTGATGCATCCAGTCAATAAAACGAAACGTAACTGATAGAAGACTGAGGAGGCGCTTGATGTCACCAAAGGGACTGTCTTTCAGGGTGTGTTTCAAACAAAAGCAGGGGTGTAGTCTGTTTCTCTGCTTATATGTGCACAAACAGTTCTGGAAGGATACGAGAAATCTGTGTCGTGGTCCCCGGGGAGAGGCCCTGGGGTGTCTTGGTGGGTGTGGGGAAGGGGAGAAGCCCCAGGGACGCCCCAGACCCACCCCTGTGTGTTCTGGTTTGTCCTGGCCTCCCTTGTTTCAGCCTCTCTGGTGACAGCCTCATACTCGTTGCCCGGCTCCTGTGGTCCAGGCCTGTGGGTTTACAGCCCCTCCGTCCATGTGGGACCTGGGGGCTGCATCGGACGATGACAGCTGACGCTGAGTGTCTTTCCTGCCACTCCCCCTGTGGGAGGGCGGATGCCAGGCTGCTCTCCTGGTCGACCCACGGCTAGTGGGGAGCTCCTCGCGCAGCATCTGAGCTCTGTGGACCTGTGATAGGTGTTTTACTCTTGCCGCCATCCGTCTTTGTGCTTCTGGAAGATAGCTGTTACAGCGCGAATGGCTTTTATAAAATACCGTATGGCTTTGGCCTCTATAAGACCTTTATTTTGGGAGGAAAAGACTGTTGACTTTAATTTTTTTCTAGTCTCTCAGGCAAAGAAACAAACCCAGCAGGTGCTTCTGAGATGACTGAGCCAGCCCCTCCGGGAGTCCTTTCTAGCTCTGCGGCACCAGCAGGGCCAGGCGCAGAGAAAGACCCAAGGTCCCTGCTGTCCCATCTCATGTATGCGGTGGGCGTCAGGCTCAGAGCCGGTTCCAGTGTGATGGCTGCACAGGACACAGCTTTCTGGAGCCCCTGTGTCCCCTGTGTGCCCCATGTCCTTCGTGCAGGCACCAGGTCTGAGGTCCTCGGGGGCTGTTGGCCACCGTGTCATCTGCTTGTGTTGGGGACAAGCTTGGAGCCTAGCCCCCTGACCAGGCCTGTTCTCTCTGCTCCCCTGGGATGGCCTCAGGCAGCCTGGAAGCGGGGAGTCCCACCCTGGCCTCCTTTCTCGTCACTCTGGAGCAGTGTTCTCTTGGCCCCGCTGGGTCAGGAGACTCAGCTGGCTTCTCACTGGCCCTAAGTGGTGCCCAAGTCCTTTGTAGGCCTCTGTCTTGAAGTGTAAAAACATTGGTTTGACCCAATGACCCTATTTCTGCAATTTATTCTGAGGAAACAGTTGAGAACACACATATAATTGTACTGTATTTAATGATGTTTATCAATATCATAGTAAAAGGAGTCCCTAAATTATGCCCTAGGGGAATGGCCAGGCAGAGGGGGGGCCCTGCTGGCTGGGGCGAGAGCCACGGGAAGGGGTGTCGCAGGCCTGGGCGTGGGGTGTCTTGCTGCTTTGGGGGCAGCGTGTTGGGCACAACAGGACGGGGAGGCCAGGCTGGGCCTGTGGGGGAGGGGTGTGTTAGAGCCCATTTTCTCTACAGTGTTTTCTGTCTAAACAAAGCAATGGTTTTGAAACAAACAGAAAACCTTGTCTGCTCCCTGGAGCTCTTAGAGAAGGCATTTGGGCAGCTGAGTTTTGCAGCTAGCCCCAAGCCCCATTTTGTGTCCCCCTGGTGTGTTTTTAACAGCCTCAGGTAGAAATTACCTTCAGCGTGGTACCTCCCTTCCAGCTGTTACAAATGGCAGAGAGTAAGTACGGTTTCTCTTTTCTTAACCTCTGTGTTTTTAAAAGTCCAGAGTGAGTGCCCTCAGACCCTCTGAGAGGTGGCCCTTGCTCGTGGTGTCTCCAGTCACCACGTTTTGGGCATTTTGGGCCCCTTGCGGGAGCCAGGCGGCTGAGCTGGCAGGTGCCGAGTGTCTGAGCGAGTGTGCAGCCCCCATCCTGGGCTCAGCGCGTGGTCTCTGTAAGTCTGCCTCTTTTGCCCCCAGGTGACTTGCCAGGGAGGAGAGACCCCCTGGTCTGCCTGACGTAGGTCCCGGGCCAGTGTTGCCCAGGATGGAGTGGGGGTAGCCGAGGGCAGAGCCAGGCCTGGTTGGGCACGTGTGCTTGGGGAGGGTACGTGCTGAGGCCTGCAGGTGAACCCATCCACCTGACCGCACAGGCCTGGCTTTTGTCCTTGTGACTCCAGGCCACAGGCTGCCGCCTTGGCCCTTTAGTGATTGATTAGTCCTGGTCAGGGGAGAGGTCCCGAGAGGTGACCTGTCCTGCCGGCAGTCATCAGCCCAGCCCGGCTTCTGAACGTGGGTAGCTGGAAGGAGTTTTGCTTTCTTTCCTTGTATCTTTTACTTAAACCTCAAACTATATTTGAACCATACGAATGAACATTGTGACATTAACATGTATGAGAGTGACAGAGCAGAAACCCCGGCTCCTGTGCCCCTCCCCCCACGAGCCCCAGCCAAGACCTCGCCTCCACCCTTGGGGAGCCCCAGCCCTGCACTTGGAAGTGAGTGATTTCTTTCTCTGCGTTTGCCCCTTTTCCCCGTTTTCGTCACCGACTCCAGGCTTCAGTCTGAGTGAGGTCACCTCGCCGGTGAGGACAGTGAGGCTCTGGTTGGGAGAGTGTGCAGGCTTCCCAGGCCAGGGAGAGACTTCACAGAGAGAGGAGTGCGTGTGAGCCCTCCACAGCTCTGTCTGAGTTGGAGCTGGTCTGGGGGTCAAACCGCAGAGAAACCTTGAGAGGGAAGTTGGTTTGACTCTGGAGCGGTGCCTCCACCCATCACCCTGGGACTCCGTGTGCGCGTCCCTGGTCACCTGGATGGCTGCAGCCGCCCAGAGCTGCCCAGGGCTGCATGGAAGGGGCAGAGCGCGCCATGCTCCTGGCTTTTGGTGAGAAATGAATCCCGCTTCAGCGTCTTGACAGTAGCTCATTAAGAGCCTAGGCGGCGAAGCGGGCAGGAGTGTTGCATGCACACCCCACATCCCATAATATTTTGTTTCAAGTTGAGCAGATCGCACAGTGGGTTTGCAGGTGAAGACTTGCCCGCGAGGTTCACGGTCACAGGCGCCGCTGCCGGGAGCAGAAGGCCACGCACAGAACCGGGAGGCACTTCCTCGGCACTTTATTGCCAAACATCAAGTTTTACGAGTGCCTTTCTGGCGCTCACTTTACATATGTCATAAATGCAATGCAGTGTCGCTGGGGGCCCAGGGAGGAGGCCTGGACCGCGATTTCCTCACTCCTTAAAGCAGGCGCGGGGCTGGGGCCTGGCTTTGGTTTTGGCCGATCACGTGGGTACCTTCCTGCCTCTCGCCCTCCGAGACCCACCTAATGGAAGCGTCTCTTGTGACCAGAGTCACTCCGGAGCCTGAGTGTCTTCTGTCCCCTGTGTCCCCGTTCGCTGCGCGCTCCCCTTGGGCCTGTTCTTGTGTTTCCCCTTGGCTGCTGCCCAGGGTGGGCGGGTGAGTGGGGACTTGCGGTCACCGAAGGGAGGGGCCCACGCTGCTGCTGGCTGGCTAAGGGACTGTGGCCAAAGTGTCACCCTCTTGAGCCTGCTTCCCCGATGGGAAGGGGGATGGTTACCTTGCTGGCCGGCCACCTGGGGTTGTGGGGAGGGTGACATGAGGTGATGTCTGTTGGCTCCTAGTGCAGTGCCGGCCTGGCCGATGCTCCCTGGAAGGGGTCATCTGCCCCACAGAGTGGAGCCTGTCACCTGTGGGCGCAGCAGGCAGGAGGGGAGTCTGACAGCCGTCTGTCACACGTTCAGGTGGAGGCTCGTGGCTGCTAGTGGCCACCTTGGTTTGCTCTCCTGGCAGAGTTGCTGCATCACCTGACTTGGGGGTTTTTGTCCCTCTGGGGTGGCCTGTGGCTTGCGGGTTTGGCCCCGTCCCCTCCACTCCCCTGCGGGTGGTCAGAGGCACGAGTTCTGGTTCTGCAGCCCCTCGGGTGGCTGCCTTCAGGGACCCCGGCCCGGCTGCCCAGGCACGCAGGGGCCAGCCCTGGCACCTCCTGTCCTGCTCTCTCCCTGGGTGCGGGAGCTCCTGCCCTGGAGAGGCTGGCCTCCCTGGGCCTCGACTCTTCTGTCTGCTGTGCTGAGTGGGCGCCTCACGCGGCTGGACAGAAACAGGGCACCCTGCGCCCCCAGGCGAGGCTCCTCTGCTTGTCCCGCCCCAGCCACTCCTCGACCTGTGTGAGGGGCCCCGGAGGCACCTTTCTGTCCCAGCGATGCTCTGGGACACACCCTGTGCCATGTGTGAGGGAGAGCGGGGCTGGCTCACCCCGTGGCCTCCCTCGTGGTCCTGCTAACCACCTGCCTCTGGTTTAGTTTCCAGGCTGAGCGGCCCGCGCTGAACGTCGTCGTCTTCCCTCTGCTCCACGAGGGCCTGACCGATGTCATCCGGGACGTCCCCATGGTGCACCTGGATGAGGTCACCTTATTTAAAAGCAGAGTGGCCGAGGAGCCGCCAAACCTGTGGTGGTGACAGGAACGGGCCCACCTGCTCGTCACCGCCCATGGTCTCTGAGTCTCCGTGGCCGAGGAAGCAGGACCGCCTGGACTGCGTGTGGCCTCCGGCCTCTGCCACGGCTGCTGCTGCTGCCCCACCCACCCCGGGCCCCCCAAGATCCCCCGTAGGTCACGGGAGGAGGGAGGCCTCTTCCCCGGCCATCCCCCGGGGCTTCCTCTCGTGAGGACCCCATGCTCCGTGACATTCGGGCTGAGCTGAGGGAGGAGGATGAGGTGGGAAGGGCTGGCTACGGGGTGTTCTTGAACTAAGACACGCGTTGCCAGGGCGCTGACCCGTCCGGGGCCAGGTCCCCAGAGCCCTTGGTGGCCCCAGTGCTGTCCCCTCCCTCCAGCCCCCAAGAATGTCCCTTTGCTCTTGCATTCCTGGTCACCTGCCGTTGGGCTCAGCAGAGGGGGCAGCCGGGGCCCCGGTGCAGGGGGTGCCGTGCTTGTGTGGGTGGACACGCTCCCTGTGTGATGACCTGAGGCCCCTCCCTCGGCACCCGTGTGCCTGAGGTGGCGAGGGGCCTGCGCACACTGTGGCTGCAGATTTGGGGCTCTCCTTTCTTTTGACCCAGTTTGTCTCCGGTGTTTCCAGCCAGATGACGGCAGGTGGGGCGGTTCAGCCGCCCACCAGTCCCGACTTCCGGCTTCAGCCGCCGCAGGCCCCTATGAAGACCCGTGTTTCTAGGGGCACATGGATAGACTCACCTCAGTAGGAGAACTTGACATTAAAACCCGGAAAGGATGTGTCAGGCCGGAGTAGTGATCACGTTACCCATTTCAGATAGCTTTATCTAGCACTTTAAAAAGACTCAACACAGCTATTCCAAAAACGAGAGTCTGCTCCCTGTGTCCAGGGCCTAATTCCCCGTGCCAAGCCCAGTGTGTCTGCCGTCTCAACTGGGAGACTCCCCAGAGCTGTCGTCCCCTTGCTGGTGGGCTTCTGAGGGGCCGGTTGGGTTCCCTCCATCCAGAGTCTTGCCTGGACGCTCCTGGTGATGCTTCTGGAGACTTCCAGGGACTTGGCACCGTCAGGCCACCTCCAGCCAGAGGCACCTGGGTCTCCACTGAGCCTGCCTCCCCGGCCCCCGGGTCAGGCTCTGTCCCGCCCCTGGCCTCCCCTTGCGCCGGGCCGGGGGCGCAGAGTCCGCCCGGCCCTCCTTACAGGGCTGATGCCCCGTCTTGGCTGCCGCCTGCTCTGTGGCCCGCAGGCCTGCTGTCTTCCTGCTCTGTTCCGTGTGGTGTCACCCCCATTCTGTGTCCTACCGTTTGCCTATTATAGGGCCTGGTCCCTGGTTCCTGGGCGTTCATTCACTTGCCCTTCCCTGGGGTCTCACGGGACAAGCAGTTCAGCAGCCCCTACCCCGTCAGGCTGAGGGGGTCCAGGAGGCCTGCTGTGGCAGCTGCGGGAGCCAAGTACTCCTAGGGTCGGGATCCCAGGACACACACACGCCCGAGCCTCTGGTCGGTTCTTCCATAAGCAGTCTGTCTGCGGCCTCCACCCGTACCAGGGTGGCCCTGCTCTCACCTCCCTTTGCCAGGCGGAAGGTGTGTTTGCACCGGTGGAGCTGGGCCCCTCCCCCTGCACCAGTGTTTTCTTGCCATGGGTGCATTTGTTTCCTGTCAGGAGCATAGGGTGCCCTGCGCCCTCCCCAGGCTACAGTTGGCTCCTTGCCTTTTGGCTAGAGGGACCGGTCTGCCGGCTGCATCCAGGTTAATGTCCTGCAGCGGGCCCTCCCCCAAGCCCACAGCCCTCCCCTGTGCAGTCCTGACCTGGCCTGAGAGCTGCAACCCAGGCCCGATCTCCTGGCCTTACAAGTCGCAGCCCCAGAGAGAGAGGGCCAAGGCCCCCGGTGGATCCACACAGCTGTAGCTGAGGGTCACAGAGGTGGTGGGACATCCCACCCCACCAACTTTTGGGGTTTTTTTTTCAGATGATGCCTTGAGACCACCAGAAAGACCGGCGGTGTAGGGACTGATTGCTTCTTGTCCTCAATGCAAGGGGGTGGCCAGCCACAGCCCGACCAGCAGGGGGACATGGCCCAGGATGGGGGCAAGTGGCCTGGCTGACTCCGGGACCCCTGTGGCCCTGGGTACATGTCTCCTTTTGTCCAGAGCGCCCCGGGCTCAGGCCGGAGAATGATCTTTCCACTAGGAGTTTATCCACAGGCTGCAGCTGTCCTCGCACTCTGGCCTGTGTGGCCTGTTCTCCTGAGCCAGCAGTTTTAGCCAACAGCATCATTTATGCCAACAAACAGGGTGGGGCCCAAGCTGCCTTGGAAAGCAGCCCCCAAACAGTAGGCTTTGTATTTTTAGTGTCCCCCCAACCCATCCTTCACTTAGAGCAAGAATTTCCGCTGCTTCTACACCCAAGACAGGATTCACCAGATGTTAATAATGTGCTTATTCTCGCTAAGTGCTATTTTGGCACCGGTGTTAATTGCAATTTATATTCTGCAGCATTTTATGCTGGGAAAAGAACCCACCCTAATGGTCCCCAATTGGCAGAACTGGGCTGTTAAGAGGCGGACCATATGCTGCCTGTGGAGAGGGGCCCGGTCAGCACTGGCGCCTGCGTGTGTGTGCGTGTGTGTGCATGGTGCGTGCCTACACACGAGTGTAGTCTGCTGTGTGTGTGTTCTGTTCAGAGTGTGCACATGCGTGTGTGGGTGTGTGCATGAGACAGAGACACTGAGGGAGGTAGGGACGCGGGAGGGGGCGACTGGGCATTTATCTCTGTTAAAGAGAAACCCCTAACCTCCCCAGGCCACACCTCCTGCCTGGGCCCCCCCGACCCGGACCCTGCGACTCACTGCTCTCGCGCCCTCCCTGGCCCTGGACCTGCGGCCCCGGCTTCGCAGGGCTGAAGGTGCCCCCAGGAGAGGAGCACAGAGACCCGCAGCCCCTTCCCTGCTGTCAGTCAGCGGCTTTTCTCATTTGCACATGTGAGTGTTTTTATTTCCAAGCTGGGGACAGATTTTGTCCCTGCCTGTCAGCTGCCCTCCTGAGGAACCCAGGAGACAGGTCTGAGAGGGCCTCTCTGCTCGGGTCTGGGACGGCGCCAGCTCCTCAGACATCGGAAATGGCCCCGGGATGGACGCCCCCTCCTTGGGCAGCTCTGCAGGGCTGGGGCTGGGGAGTGACTCTCCCGTCATCACCACCACGCTGGGACCAGAGCCGCAGGCCACTTGGCCTGGGCGCAGGAGCTTGGCAGAGGCCTGGGCTGGGAAAGCCAGGCCATGGGAGCTGAGGGACCTGGGGCTCTGTTGGCCAGAGGGTCAGAAACCAGCAATCACAGCATCCATCTTGCCAGTGGCCTCCCCAGAAGTGGACCTGCCTGAGGGGCCCGCCCTCTGGCCCCCCAAGTGGCTCCGGGCAGTGGGCAGCCTGCTTCCTCTGGCCCTGCTCATTTGTTCCTTTAGAATTTGAAAGTTATTGAGACCTTGCAAGAAAAAAATAACGAGAAATTAGTGGGTGAGGATGATGGAGTGTGGCCTTGGGCAGCAGGCTGCAGCAGCTTCAGCCGTAAAACCCAAGGTGAGGGGGACGTGGACGCCGACACCCGTGGTTCCTGGGGCGTCAGCCCTGGGCTACCCTCCCCTTCTGACAAGAGAGGGCCGGGGCTGTGCAGGGGGGTTTTGGGTGCCCGGGGGTAGGGTGCAGTGTTCTAATCAGAAGTGTCTCAGGTCGACTGGGCAAGATGAGCAAAGAATAGCCACAGAAATTTTTAAAAACTGCTGGTCTGACGCTGGCTATCCAGTGTCATCTAAATTACTTTCTAAAGCTCTTTCAGGAAACAAGTGTATGAGGTTTTGCATCAGTATCATAGGGTCAGGGCGCCCACTACACTCTACTCCAGGCCAGCCAGACCTGGAGATGGAGGGAGACCCGGGGCCACTCGGCCCAGAAGCCCAGGTCTGAGTCAGAAGCTGCTGTCGTGCTGGACCTGCCACGGGAGAGACTTCGCTTCACGTCCCAGCGGGTCTGAGCTGGAGGCCTCCCCGCTCTGCTCACCGTGCGGCAGGCAGCGGGGCGTGCAAGGTGATGGTGGCACACGGGCGTGGGCACATGACTCCCCATGCGGTCAGGGGCATCTCCGGCCCCGCCACTGGCTGCCCCTCTGACCACTGCCATCCTCCTCGTTGCAGCTCTGACCGGACACGGTTGTGCTTGGCATGTTAACCATCTTACGGGGGTCGGGGTGAGTTGCCAGGGTGTCTCATGGCATGTGTGTGACCAGGTGCTCCGTGACCGAATGCGTGTCACCTGCCTTTTGATGACAGACCTCCCTGTCCTCTGGCGATGCTGCTCCTGAGTTTTGTGTTCCAACCACATCCTGAATGGATATTTTCATGTAAATTTGTGGCATGTGAAAAGTTTAAAATAAAGTGGACTTGGTTTAGAAAACCAGGCAGCTGTGTTGTCCTTCCAGCAAGGACACCCCTGACCTTGGTCCTGCGGCCCCGTCTGCAGCCCCTGAGGAGGGGCCGGGGCGGTGGGGCCCTGGTCACCCACAGCTGTTCAGGTGTTGAGGACAGACTCCGTGCTTGGCTGGTTGGGGGTCTCTGAATGGAGACCTGAGACGCAAAGTAGGGACCAGGTGCTATCTGGGGCCATCAGGAGGCGACTGCTGAGTTCGCCTTTGCAGGCTGGGGAGGCAGAGGCCGTGAGGAGGCGGGCAGGGGTGCAGGGACGCCGGGGTGGCCGGGAGCTGCTCTCTGTACCAGGGCTCCGTGTGGCCGGTAGGGGCCGAGGCGGCGCAGGCATTCTCTGGGGGCCGTGGGGGCCAAGTCAGTTTTATTTGTATTTAATACTCATATTTGTATTTTTCAATTGTGGCAAAATATACATCACATAAAATTTACTCTCTCAACCGTTTCTCTGTGTACAGTTCAGCAGCATTAAGTACGTTCACACTGTCGTGTAACTATCCCCACCATCCTTTTCCAGAACTCATCATCCTCCCCTACGAGAATTCTGCCCCACTGACCACCAACTCCCATCCCCCTGCCCCGGCCCCTGGCCCCCACCCTCTGCTTTCTGTCTCTATGAACCTGACTCCTCCCGGGACCTCACATAAGTGGAATCATTAAGTATTTGTCCTTCTGTGATTGGCTTATTTGCAGTATCAGCTTTAGGCGGAAACTTCCTTCACCAGACCTGGGCGTTGGGACGGGGCTCTGCCCGCAGCCAGAGCAGGTGGGAGGTGGAAACCGAGGCAGGGACATCAGGGGCAGGTGCGCAGACATCTGGGGAGGGAGGGGCTGTGGACAGAGGTGGGCCCAGGGATGCTGAGGACAGAGTGACAAGGGCAGGGGACCATCAGGTGGGCTGAGGAGGGCTCAGTGATGCCTCTTGAGCCCCCGGCTTGGTCCTTAAGCTGCGGTGGTGATGGGGGCAGGCGGGCAGGGGGGCGTGATGAGGGCGGGAGCCTCCGTCCTTTCTGATGCTGCCAGAGCCGGTCACCCAAGCATGGTGTGCACCCACAGATCTCCCCGTGACGGTTCACTTCTGGCTGGGAGCCGGGGACGAAACTGAGGGGACAGTCCTCAAGGAGTCAGCAGTGACCTTCCCAAGAGGGGCCGGATTGACCTCTGCCCTGCTGAGTCCAAAGGCAGCAGCAGGGGAGATGAGGCGGGAGCACAGGTGCGAGAAATCCCAGCAGCTCTGCTTCCGACACATGTGAGCCGTGATCAGCAGGGTGACAGGTTGGTGGGAGTTGGTGGGAGGAGGGGGAGCAAAACAAAACATATTTGGATTAGTCTATTAAAACAAAGTGTATACGGTCAAAAAAAAAGAAAGAAAACCACACAACAAACTACCTCCAACTTGAGGACGGAAGGAGCCTTTTGGGGGTGCTCGTGCTTCCCTGTTGGGGGAAGAAAGATGTCCCGTGGAGAGAGGGAGACCAGGGGCAGGGCTGGCCCTTCCCTGGTCCCAGATGCCTGCCCGAGCCGAGCTCCTGGCCGAGGTAAGTGCCCCCCAGGAGGGGATGGCAGAGAAGGGGCCCAGTCTGGGCTGGGGGTCAGGGAGCCTCGGAGAGGTTGGGAGTCTTCCCTCAGACCAGGCCTTTCTCTTAAAAATGGCCCAGTCCCCCTT